AGTTGTGCGGCGGTACTTTAGATGCGCAGCAGCGCTTCCGGTTTTTTGAATTTTTTTTTACCAAAACAAAAGCAATTTTTCCATTCTTTTCATTCTTATCGTGGATGATTAGTCTCAAGCAGTGATTTGTGGCCGAAATAGATCATGATTTTTTCGTAAAGATTCTCTTAACTATTGAAGGAGCGGCGCGCTGGCTTTCAAGATTTCAACAGAGGACCTTGAAGGTACGGACTGTGGTTGGGAGCGCATCCCATGCGAAGATACCGAGTAGAGGTATACGCTGCTCACCTGCCGCCGCTATGAACTCTCCTATTCTGCTTCCATGCGTTTTATCGCACCACTTCTTTAACTGAAACCAATTACGATATGCGAGAAACAAGATATATACCTCGTTTGTATAGCATCCGTGTTCTGCTTTCCAAGATGAACTCGAGCAAGCTGATTTCCGAACACATCTTCGGACATGTTCTTTCGACGCCGAGACTAAAAATTAAGCATTATAAAAATTGAGCCGCATGGCATAACAAATGACGTTTTTTTTTCATCGAGTATCTGAAAAATCACCACAACCATCTCCTTGATGAAGAGGGAAAACGTAAGGAACCGTCAAAAAAGCATTGCAAAGAGCACGTCATTAGCACGCAGAATCTTCAGTGTCAACTAAGTGCTTGTTTTACGAAATTTAAAAGCGCAAACATGAGCTCGGTACACGCCATACGACTTGAAATAATGGCTGAGCATTTATAAACTGTATTTACCATAAGTGCCTTCGGTTTCCTGCATGCCGCCTTGTACAGACTGTCGCTAGCAATTTTCGTGCGATCTACTTTAAAATCTATAGATGGGCCCATCTCAAGAAGCTCTATTCTCGGTACATTGGTAGCACTTTTCAGCAATAAAACTCTGAAAAAAATGCATGTCTTTTCACTGTAAGTGAGCACCACAATAGCACATCCAAACAAATGCACAGATTAAAGTTCAAAGGAAGCAATGTAAAGAAAGTACCTGTACACCCTCATGTATATCATGTTGTCTTTTGCTGTGAACGATATGAAAGACTCCAACCCTTCGAGACGAATCTAGATGGGTGTTTTCCATTAGAATAAAAAGAATTCACATTATTTCAACGCAAATGTATAACAGGAAACTGACAAGTTAAAACAAGTTGCCAAAAATGAAGCTAGAAAGTCTCAGAGTAGATTAAATGAAAAAATACCATTTCAACAGTCGGTCCTTTGAAGAAGTCGACAAGTAAATTCCCGATCCTTTTCATAGTGGGATCAGATTCGAACTCGGTACCCTCCAGGCACAAACATGGCTTCGTACCCAGTGGCACCTTCGGAGTCTGACAAGAACATTGAGCATTATTAGAAAGCGAAGCGAAAGTTCAGAACTCACCTTCAAAATTTCGAGCAGGGATGAATTTCACAATGCTAAGATCAGCCATATCGAGGATGTGCCCATCGTGAGTTCGTCCAAAGATTAAGCTGCTCGGACGCTTTTTTGTCGAAGAGCCAAAGAGGAAAAGGGAAGAGTCGTATTTGTCGACAAACTTCTCAATCGGCGTCTCATCATCGAAAATATGAAATGGATTGTGCCTGTAACAGTGTTCAAAATGAAACACGCGTGTATCTCTGAGAGGCTTTTGCAAAGCAACTATCCACAAGTTTTACCAATTTTTCTTCTATGGCAAAAAAGCAAAGTGGGAGTACACCCGATGAAAGCTGTGATAGCAAAACGGTCTGGGGAATATCGGAAATACAGCAGCGTTCCTTTCCACATTTCGACTCTTAGCGCCGTTTAGCGGTTTATACTAACTTGGTGTGTCAGTTTGTATGTATGTGTGTACGGTCTATATTCCACAGTCAGCGGTAGGCGTGTCACCGGCAGCAGCCGTACTTGATAGAGCCCTCTATTTCGGAAGACGAGAAGAGCGTCGAGTGCAGACCACACACCACAAGTGACGACGGCCAGAAAAAAGCCATTCTCGGCCGTCGTCACTTGTGGTGTGTGGTCTGCACTCGACGCTCTTCTTGCCTTCCGAAATAGAGGTATGTCCGTCCGCAAAATCAAAATCAGTGATGTGGCAGCTAATGGGATAAAGAAGCCGCACAAATCTGCTGGACTTGCTGTAAATGTTTTGCAATGGTGTGATTGTGATAACACCTCAACGGCTATAACACCTAGTTAAGACACTTTCGCTCATTCCACGAGGTAATGCAGTGGCAACTGGAGAACAGTGGAGGAAGGGGGAGGGGGGATAAGGAGAGGAGGAAGGAACGCAGACTACGCAGAAGGGAGGTTTCCGAGGACCAATCTAGTTAATTCATAAAACTGTAAACTGACCGCTTCAACTGTCGAATGAGTGGCTTTTTCAGCATATAGATATCCAGCATCGCATCTACTACGGTCTGATTAGTTTTTGAGCCTTTCACAATGAGTGCGGTCTTGTCATTTTCCACGGTTTTTGGAGCGCGATCGTCCAGCACACGCTTCCCTTTCCGAGTTTTAACTTTATTAACCCGCATATTCTGGAAATACTTAGATTTTAAGCCGTAGTACGCAAATGAAAGAAGAAAGAGACTGAATTAATGCATAGCGACGACTAGACGCAATTATGAAAGGAAATTATTTGGTCAAGTTACGAGTTACTGATGAGCTGAAGTTTTGTGTCCTGTTCTGGGTGTGGGGGGGGGGGGGGCAAAAAGCGAGTTCACTTCTCCCACATGGCAAAAACGCAAAAAAATCTGCATTGCGAAACCAAATCAAATGCGCCCAGCTGAGTATTAAAGAGCACATTCCTAATCTATCAAAAAGTTACATGACAGCCTTCTACACCGACGACATCAGAAGATTTTCCCACGGAAACATGGTTCACGGTACGAGCTCAACGAGGTCGTCGAGGTACCATAGACGATTACGAGGTCCCTGAAACGCAGGTCAAAAGCGGGGTACTCAGTCCAGTAAAAGGCGGCATCAAGTGGGGGGAACTGCCCTCATCCCCCCATAGACTGCTACCACTCCCCCCTGGCGCACCATTTTCTATGCAAGTGCGGAACCGAGAGCCAGTTGAGAGAAGCCAGTTAGACCGACGTCATAGTCGGCGACGGACCAAGCGATGGAGCGATCGCGATCGCTCCATCGCTTGTCCGTCGCTTGCCAATCGCTCTCGGTCGAGCGATTGGCAAGCGATTGCGCAATGTGCACAAGCGACGGGCGATTGGCCCCGCCCCCAGTCAATGCAGTCGGCTGCGGTATCGATCGAGCAGAGCCATTGCCCGTCGCTTGTGCACTTTGCAAGCGATTGCGCAATCGCTTGCCAATCGCTCGACCAAGAGCGATTGGCAAGCGACGGACAAGCGATGGAGCGATCGCGATCGCTCCATCGCTTGTTCCGTCGCCGACTATGACGTCGGTCTTAGGTCCACGCAGGGGTGAGGGCAGCCTACTTGGACGTTGCACCAACCATCCCTCCTTTCTGGATGACCCAAAAGCGGTCTTGCGTATTCACAGTTAGTGATTCTGAGATGCTATTCATCGGATAATCTATTGAAGAAACTACGTAGCAGCTCTAGGCCGGAGCGATTACGGTAAGCCTCGTCGAGCTCGACGGTGACGGCAGATGACGTCATATTCTGAGGATGGTGGGGCAGTGAAGGAGGCCTTTTCTGCCCATCTGCCCATGGGGGGAGAACACCTAAGGAATATCCTGCCGTGAGGATCCATCAACAACGGCATCCTGTGCGACGAAAAGTTTGATGATGTGCGCTATGGCGGAGTGACTTTTTTTGCCTCCCCCGCCCTCCCTTGGTCACCCCCTAGGTCACACCATTCAAATAATACCAACATTCTGCAGCAATAACGCATTGCGGCGACATCCCGAGAGCGATAAGCGTCAACGCCAAAATTCTTTACGATTGGGATCATTGATTTTTTGGCCTATGTTGTTTGTGGGCGGAAGTGGTGTAGTGACAAGTGGCACGCTTACCACGCGAGCGGTCCGGGATCAAATCCTGGGTCGTGAGTCGCCCGGGCCAACCAAGCCTTCCATCCCTCCGGGGTCGGTTAATTGGTACCAGACTTGTCTGGGAGGATAAAAACACTGACTTGTACATCGGCTGGCCCCCGCAAGTCATTGTATAGGCCACATCGCATTCAAACGCCACTACGAATGTACAAATGGAAGTAGAATGCGTGCCGCATCCCAAAAAGGGATTGATCAACTGCTTTGCCCTTTTTATCCTTTATCAATTCTCCTTTTCATGCTAAGCTAAAGCGGTCTGGCCCTCCCCTCTGGTTAACAGTGGAATAATCAGCCCTTACCTAGGAAGGCCAAGTCCAAGAGTAAACATTGATCTAGGTTATTTTATACACAAACCAGATGCATCCAAAAACTCATTGATGATGGAAGTGGGATTGGCCAAACCAACACTGATGGACTTCCGGATACTGTTACAGCGAAGTTCAAAAAGACACGTACAGTCGATATCCGAAAGTTGGGGTGGGTGTGTCACCGGAAGTGACGTGCACTTGATAGAAGTGCGTGGATAAGCTGTTGCCAGCATGCTTTGCTGATAGCCAGCGATGTATGTTGGAAGCAGCTTATCCACATAGTTTCTATCAAGTGCACGTCACTTCCGGTGACACGCCCACCCCAACTCACCGATATCGAGTATACGTTTGGTAATACTATCACAGAACAAACAGTGAAATTGGAGAAGAGCACTAAAATTGAGAATAAAGCTACACAGTCGTAGTATTGGGCAAGCCGGTCGCAATAGGCACAAACACCTTGTATTTGACGTCACCTCACACCGATGTCTTTTCCATGGTGGTTTTGACTTCGCGTCGGTCTATCTCTCTTCTATTTCTTTTTTGTTTTGAAACAGTCCTAAAGTCTCAAATACTTTGATAGACTATGTAGATAAGTCTCTGTGACTGCACTCAAGGGTTTTCTTTCAGTTTTACTTGAAATCAACCCCCTCAACTAAGCTTTCAAAATGGCTATGGCAGCAAGAGGACGGAATTCAAAGCTACCACCTGAGGTATTCGAGTTTTGGAGTAGTTACTTGTTCTGCCATATGTTCCTTTTCCTCGCAACTTTCAGGTGAACCGGATTTTGTACATTAAAAATCTGCCGTACAAAATAACTTCCAGCGAAATGTACGAGATTTTTGGTAAATTTGGAGCGATTCGACAAATTAGAGTGTAGTTTTCATTATTTCTTCATTGAAATCAGTCGTGCGAAAGGTTCTGCTATGCAAAAAGCGAAATTGTCGCTTTCTGTTCCAGCGACCCACCTCTTACTGATCTAAATAGAACCATTTCGAAAATTCGTAGCTCATTTTCAAGTCGGTTCTCAAAGAGTAACGAACTCAAGTTAAATCGGTCCACACGCATTGTACACTTTCTGTTCACAGCGGATCAACAAACGAAACAAGGGGAACCGCATTTGTTGTTTACGAAGACATCT